ACAATGGTAAGGACAAACTAGTCCTAGTGTACTTGGATTGGAGAAATATCCAGCACCTTAGGCATTTACCAGCAGAGGAGTAAAATATGGCAAAAAGCTCAACTGTAGCAAGATCCAAATGACAGTATATGAGTTGTTTTGGAATAGAGCGCAATGGCCACCAATCAGGAATGCCTTGCATTTAACTATGCATTCATTCTTCAATGGCCACCAATCAGGAATGCCTTGCATTTAACTATGCATTCATTCTTCAATNATCATGGTGTTAGCATCTATGTATCATGGTGTTAGCATCTATGTATCATGGTGTTAGCATCTATGTATCATGGTGTTAGCATCGATGTATCGTGGTGTTAGCATCGATGTATCGTGGTGTTAGCATCGTTGTATCGTGGTGTTAGCATCGTTGTATCGTGGTGTTAGCATCGATGTATCATGGTGTTAGCATCGATGTATCATGGTGTTAGCATTGATGTATTGTGGTGTTAGCATCTATGTATCATGGTGTTAGCATCTATGTATCGTGGTGTTAGCATCGATGTATCGTGGTGTTAGCATCGATGTATCGTGGTGTTAGCATCGTTGTATCGTGGTGTTAGCATCTATGTATCGTGGTGTTAGCATCGATGTATCATGGTGTTAGCATTGATGTATCATGGTGTTAGCATTGATGTATTGTGGTGTTAGCATCTATGTATCATGGTGTTAGCATCTATGTATCATGGTGTTAGCATCTATGTATCATGGTGTTAGCATCTATGTATCGTGGTGTTAGCATCAATGTATCGTGGTGTTAGCATCAATGTATCGTGGTGTTAGCATCGATGTATCGTGGTGTTAGCATCGATGTATCGTGGTGTTAGCACAGATGTATCGTGGTGTTAGCACAGATGTATCGTGGTGTTAGCACAGATGTATCGTGGTGTTAGCACAGATGTGTCGTGGTGTTAGCACAGATGTGTCGTGGTGTTAGCACAGATGTGTCGTGGTGTTAGCATCGATGTATCATGGTGTTAGCATCGTGGTGTTAGCATCGATGTATCGTGGTGTTAGCATTGATGTATCATGGTGTTAGCATTGATGTATCATGGTGTTAGCATGTTAGCACTGATGTATCGTGTTGTTAGCACTGATGTATCATGGTGTTAGCACTGATGTATCATGGTGTTAGCATTAGCATCAAAGCTGCTACAGCTGAGATTAACCCTTGCGAGCTGTGTTTTTAGTTACTGGTTAATTTAGTTTCTTGAATCACAGTTATTGTTTCA